ATAAGAACAAATAAAAAACAATAAATCAAGACTGATTTGACAGTATCATGTTAATTCCAGAGTAAATGAGCCATCTGTAGAATTAAAAATATAATTAATTACCTTTCGAACATGAAACATTCTGCAATCACAGCACATCTCACAAAACCTAGGGAGGATAAGACGCTCAGTAATGTCCTTTCCAACCATGGATGCCATTTTGCACATTATCTAAAATTACAAAACAAACAAACAAACAGAACATATTGAAATGATCTTCAAATGAAGACCTTTTCAGTTGTTTCTTAATAAACTCACAGAATTTAAGAAAACACATAATATTCTATGGCAATATTATATCACATATCACACAAAAAAACCACTCACTGAGGCTAATTAATTCTATTTTTTATATGTATATATGTGTATATGTGTGTGTGTACATATATCTATATATATCTTTTCAAAGAGAAAAATTAGGCATAAGGAATGACTGGGCTTAACAGATATATCTGTTTTAAAACATCTATAAGGGCATGTAACTACTGATCTCTGCTCATGTGGGGCAAAAGAGAATGAAGTACTCCAAAGAATCCAAGAAGAAAACAGTTTGCAGGTGCCTGGTCATATCTGCCGTTCTGACAAAAGATACAAGATGCCAGATAAAATGAAAGAAAAATGTGTAACAAGATTCAAATTCTTAAAAAATGACCAACCTTACAGAAGTGCTGGAGACCAGGAGAACCTTTAAGACTGCTGGTCTGGGACATTCTTTTAACTTGAAACAGAACTTATTCCCCAAAGCCATGTTTTAGCCAAAAAATAGATGGGCTTATCAGACATACAAAGTCATCTGACAGTATGTATCCTAGTAGGTTATAGATAACACTGAGAAGAAAGAGGATCCTGGAACACTTAATTGTGCTTGTGTGGAACCTATACCTGCACAAGAGGCTGTTGTGTGAACAGAACAAAGGAATACTATATGGTTTAAAAGCAAGAAAGGTGTGCGTCAGGGCTGCATCCTTTATCTGCATCTATTCAACCTGTGTGCCAAGCATGTAATTTGAGAATCTGGCCTATCTGAGAAGAATGTGGCATCAGGATTGGAGGACGACTCATCAACAACCTTGTGTGCTAGAAGTGAAGAGGCCTTGAACCACCTGCTGCAGAAGGTCAAAGACTACAGCTTTCTATATGGGTTAAATCTCAACATCAAGAAAACAAACATGTTCACCAGTGGACCAATAGGCAACATCGTGATGATGATGTTGCTTGTCTTTGAGTCGTGCACAACTCATAGTGACCCTATGAACAAAAGGCCTGAAGCCCCTCTACAACTATGGACATTTATCAAAGTCCATAGTTTCTGGAGGCAAGCTGTTTAGGAAGTGGATGCTACTCCTGCTTCCAAACGTCACAGAATGTATTATTGGTTGAGTCGCCTGCAATGCATAGTGACCCTATGGACAGCAGCTCTGAACCTTTTCCTGTCCTGAGCCAGTCTCACTAATTCTGACACATCAACCTCCACTGTACCAGTTACTCTATCAATCCATATCATCTGGGGTCTCCCTCTCCTGTGTTGTTCACCCTTCCAAGCATGATGTCCTTCTCCAAGGACCAATCTCTCCTGGCCACGTGCCTGAAGTAAGTGAGGCAAAGCTTCAAAATCCTAGCCTCTAAGGAAAGACTTGGTTTTAACCTCTCCAAGACAGATTGATTTGTTTTCTTGGCAGTCCATGGTATGCTCAAGACTCTTCTCCAGAACCACAACTCAAAGGCATCTATTATTCTTCTGTCATCCTTAGTCATTGTTCAACTTTCTGAAGCATAACGATTGAGAAAACCACAGCCTGGATTAGGCACACCTTTTAATCTAGACTGGCATTGTTGCTCTTCAGCATTCTGGGCAGGTCCATGACAGCAGATTTTCTCAATGCAATTCATCTTTGATTTTTCTTTTTTTTTCATCTTTGATTTCTTGACTGCTGGTATTAAGAGTGTTCACTGTGGATCTGAGCAAGCTGTAATTGCTAATAACCTCAATCTCTTCTCCATCTATTATGATGTTGCCAATCGGCCCAGTGGTGAGAATATCTTCTTGATGTTGAGCTTCAATCCATATTGAAGACTACAGTCCTTGACCTTTTGCAGTAAGTGCTTCAGGTCTTCTTCAGTTTCAGCAAGCAAGGTTGTGTCAACTGCATATGTATCCCTGACACACTCCTTTCTTGATTTTAAACCATGCAGTGTTTCTTTGCTCTGTTCTGAGGACTGCTTCCTGGTCCAAGTATAGGTTTTGTATAAGCACAATCAAGTGTTTTGAGATTCCCATTTTCTTCAAGGTTAGCCACAATTTATTGTGATCCACACAGTCAAATGACTCTGCATAGTCAATGAAACACAGACAGACATTCTTCTGATACTCTCTGCTTTCTGCCAAGATCCATCTGACATTGGCAATAATTTCCCTTGGTGGCATGACCTCTTCTAAACCCAGCCTGTATTTCTGGTAGTTCTCTGTCAATATAACATCATAATAAATGGTAGAAAAGACTGAAGTTGTCAAGGATTTTCTTTTACTCAGATCCATAAATACCAACGATGGTAACAGCCATCAAGAAGTCAAAAGACACATGTTCCACTGGGAGAATCTGTTGTCAAGGACTTCTCCAAAGTGCCAAATAGCAATGATATCAGTGTAAAGACTAAGGTGTGCCCAATGCAAGTCATACTCTTTTCAGTTACTTCCTATGCATCTGAAAGGCTGGATAATGAGTAAAGATGACAGAAGAAGATACGATCCATTTGAATTGGGGGTATTGGAGAAGAGGACTCAATATCCCATAGACAGCCAGAAGAACAAACAACTCTTTCTTGGATGAAGGGTTATACCTAAAGTATAACAGGGTTAGAGACAAGGATGGTGAAGCTTCATCCTGTTACTTTGGGTATGTTATCAGGAAGGGTCTGTCCTTGGGAAAAAGATACCATGCTGGCAATAGTGGAGGATTAAAGAAAGAAGCCCCACAATAAGACTGACACAGTTGACTGTAAGAATGGATTTGAGTGTCAGAGATGAGGAAGATGACAGAGGACAGGCCAAGGTGCAGATATGTTCTTCTAGAGTCACTAAGAGTCATAGTTAATTAGATGGCACCTAACAACATCATCCATAAGTAATAGCATTTCCTTAAACAATCAATGAAATGAGACAAAACAGTCAAAGATGAGTAGGCAAGAAAGAAAGCTAGAAAAACAGAAACAGAACAAGGAGAATGGAAATTAGAATGCTCACATACTACATGAATTATAACCAGTCCTGGAACAGTCTGTGAAAAAATGAAAATCTTATTTGCTGTGTCAACTTTTATCTAAAATAAAAACTACTTTTAAAAACATCAACTAAATGTGGTTAGTTATCTGTTAAGAAAATCTGATTTTAAAATGAGAATTTCTGTATAAATGACCACTTCATTTACTTTTTGATTAGGAAGAAAAAAATATTCTAGATGTGCTATTTTCTTGCTCAACATAAAACTAATTTAAGGCTTTAAAAAATAGTATACTAGGACAACCTATACTAATAGAAGTTCTGGCATTTGACTGTGTGGACCATAACAAACTGTAGCTGACTCTGAGAAGAATGGGAATCCCAGAACACTTGATCATGCTAATGCGAAACCGATACTTGAACCAAGAGGCAGTAGTCAGGACAGAGCAAGGAAACACTGCATGGTTCAAAATTGGGAAGGGCGTACGCCAGGGATGTGTCCTATCTCCATACCTTTTCAACCTGTATGCAGAACAGATTATCCAAGAGGCTGAGCTCTATGAGGAGAAATATGGCATCAGGATTGGTGGAATATCTATCAACAATCTGTGTTATGCAGATAACACAATCCTGCTTGCTCAAACTGAGGAGGACCTCAAGCACTTGCTGCAGAGGGTCAAGGATTGCAGCCTCCAATATGGATTGAGGCTCAATGTCAAAAAGACAAAGATTCCCACCACTGGACCAATTGGCAGCATCAGGATGGATGGTGAAGAGAATGAGATTGTTCATAGCTTTAGTCCACTTGGCTCCACAATCAACACACTTGGCACCAGCAGCCAGGAAATTAAAAGACGTATTGCAATGGAAAAGTCTGCTGTTAGGGACCTCTCTAAAGTACTGAAGAGCAACGGTGTCTCTCTGGAGACTAAGGTGAGTCTGATACAGGCCATGGTCTTTGCAATCACTTGTTATGTGTCAGAGAGTTGGACAATGGCTGAGGAGGATAGAAGGAGAATTGATGCTTTTGAGCTTTGGTGTTGGAGAAGAGTATTGAGGGTACCATGGACTGCTAAGAAAACAAACAGATTCATTCTGGAGAGGGTTAAACAGGGCTGCTCCTTGGAGGCAAGGATTCTGAGGCTTTGTCTGACATACTTTGGTCATGTTGTAAGGAGAAGGACATCATGCTTGGGAGAGTGAAGCGCAGGAGGGGAAGGCCTAGAAGATGGACTGATTCGGTGACTGAGGCAATCAGGATGAGTGTGTCGGAGACAATGAGATTGGCACAGTACAGAGCAGAGTTTAGGGCTGTTGTACATAGGGTCGCTATGAGTCACAAGTGACTCGACGGCACATAACAACAACAAATGAGTAAAAAGTTGTGCTTCCCTCCCAAAAACAGGCAGTTTGAATTCACCATCTACTGACAATGTTGCCCCTTGCATGTCATACTTTCTGAAAGCCTGCTGGAGGGTCCATTGTGAGTTAATTGTGACTGGACAGCACAGTGAGTGAGTCACACTAACAGCCCTGCTTTATCCAGTACTCATAATTGTGCCTCACTCTGCAAAGGCGTAGTCATCCAAATCAAGGACATCACTTAAACACACACAAATTTCACAGTTAACACAATACTGGGGGAAAAGATGGTGGACTGTTATCTGAAAACTGGTCCTAAATTAACCAGATGCTCCCTGTAGTTAACACAGAAAGGAATATGATGGCTTTGTCATCTATTAAATTTACTCCTACCTACCTTAGATGTAAAAGAAAGGAATATAAGGTACATTAGAAAAATGTAAGCCCTGAGTAAAATGATAGACTAAACAGCAGTTCAGACATTCTACAACAAGGGGAGCAGAAAATAGGCAACAGATTTGAATGATAATTCTGGAAACCAGAGTTTAAAAAGACAAGAAAAAAAAAAACCTTCAACATTGACTGAAGGAAG